ACTCAGTGTGCACCTTCCTATCACTCCGGCTGGGCACCGCGGACCGGAGAGGAGCTCGGCCACGCTACAGGGGAGGGGAGGAGAGAAGCAACTGCAGCTGCCTGAGGCTCTTAACAGAGCGCTCAGGTGGCTGCAGCATTTAAAGGGCCGGCCTTAAAAGACCGTGACCGGTCTTAAAAGAATTTAGGGCGGCCTGGGGGGCAATTGCCTCCCGGCCCCCCGGCCCAGCCAACCCCTGGCTGCACCATTCCATGGAATGCCCTTCCCCTCTCTGTTAGACTCTCACCCAATTAAAAACATACTGCTTTAGGAAAGAATATCAATTAACCCCTTAAGGACGGAGCCAAATGTACACGTTGTGAACAAAACAAAATGTAAACAAAACACCCACCCTTATTATATATCATTTTAACAGAGCTTTCATTTAATATCAAATATTTAGCTATGAAACATAATTTAATATGAAAAAAATGGGAGAAAATAAGATTTTTAAAAAAATGTTTAGTTCTGCATGACATTTTAACTGTCAATGTCATAATACTGTTTGCTTTTACAGCAATAAAATACACATATTTGTACCCGATCTGACCAAATATCGGCGAGCCGTCCATCTCCAGCGCCTGATTGAATGGACACACAACCCGGAAAACAAACTTTGGATCCCGATAGAGGCAAGCTTCTCACAAATCCCCCTATCTCTTCTCCCTTGGCTACCAAAAGCTATGACCAGCGAACTGCCACGACAACACCCAACCCTAAACGCTACTCTGACGGTCTGGAGAAGCTTAGCGCCACACAGGGACATGGCCCCGGAGCTATCTCCCCTCTGCCCTATCTCCCACAACCCTAAATTCCCCCCGGCGACGGAACCTCGCTACGACACAACCCTAGGGCTGCCATACCCATGCAGACTAAAGGACATATACAAACAAGGCACGATCACCCTGAGAGACCTGGTCCCAGATACCGCGCACGACTGGCCACTCCGCTTCAGATACCAACTTACGGAATTCCTGACGCACATGCCCGAAATGAAATCAGCAACACGAACACTCTCCACCTTCGAAACCCTTTGCACAAGCCC